AATAAATACATAAACGGAAGCTTTTGAAAGACAAGACCAGCAGATGGTATAATGGTTAAGTCACTGGATTCCCATGTAGTTGACTGCAGTTCAAGTCCCAGACCCAGCGGATTAAAACTCACTCCGGGGAACCAGCAGTTAGCGCAATGGCCGTGTCGCTGGGGTCCCATGTAGTCGACCGCGGTTCACGTCCCGGACCCGGTGGCTTAAAACTCACACCGTGCGCGTTGAATATGTGCCCAAGATCCCGAGAGGAGAATGGAGGAGAAGGGATTGCAGCGTGGCGATCCACCCTGGGGGGTGATTTCTTGCTTTCTGTCTCTCTGTCTCTCTCTGTCTGTCTGGCGAGTGCACGCACCCTATAGCAAAAATCTCTAAAAAGAAAACAAAAAACAAAAAAAACTCAAGCCGGGCGCATGTGTGTGCGTGATCCTGAGAGAACAGAGGAGAAGGGATTGGGCGTGACCATCCCCCCGGGGGGTGATTTCTCGCTGTCTCTATCTCTCCTGGTAAATGCAGGTGTCCTACAGAAAAAAAATCTCTCTCTCTCTCTCAAAAAAGGAAAAAAAAGATAGTCTAGGACCAGCAGGTGGTCTGGGTGGGCTGGTTGGACCCCACATGAAAACTGTGTGGTTCAGCTTGGCCATCATGCTGGGCTTGTATGTGTGCCCAGAGTCCTGAGAGGAGAAGGGAGGAGAAGGGATTGTGGCATGGCCATCCCCCCAGAGGTGCTTTCTCACTCCCCCCTCCCCGCAGCAAGTGAAAAAAAGAAAAAAAAACACAAATTAAAAACAGCATCGACAGTCTGGGCCCAGCTGTGTGGTGGCTGATGTGACTGGATCCCACATGACCCGCCGCGGTTCGAGTCCTAGACCTGGCAGCTTGAGAAACATGCCAGGTGCATGCAAGAGTGTGCACGCGCGCGAGTGTGTGTGCGCATGTGCACGGGTGTGTGCACGGGTGTGTGAGTGAGCACGTGCGGGAGCGTGCGTGTGTGCGTGTGCATGGGTGTGTGCGCGTGTGCGCGAGTGAGCACGTGCGGGAGCGTGCGCGAGTGCCCAAAGCCCTGAAGGGAGGGAGCCAGAGAACAGCCCGTGGCGAGGCCGTAAGAGGTGCCTTCTTGCTTTCCCTGTTCGTCTCTCTGTCTCTTGCGCACAGGTACCCTGTGGTCAATAAAAAGTCTGTTGTGAAGTTATTTGTCACCTGGTGCAGGGGCTGGAAGGGCCTGTGTTGGTAATGGCTTCAAGCTGCAGGGAAGTGGACAGCACCCGGACTCCGCAGCCCTGCGACCCCACTGTCCCCACTGGACAGCACCCGGACTCCGCAGCCCTGCCCCCCCACTGTCCCCCTGGACAGCACCTGGACTCTGCAGCACTGTCCCCCCACTGTCCCCGCTGGACAGCACCCGGACTCCGCAGCCCCGTCCCCCCC